TGTATGTGTGTGTTTTAATCTTGCCTCTGTCATTCTGCAGGTTTTGTTAAAATACTTGGTGACTCATGGTTGTCCATTCATATTTAAGAATGAAGTGGTAGAAAGGCTAGCAGGGGGTGTTGGGTACAAGCAACATTGTGTAAAAGGACAAGACTTTGTGACTGAATGGTTTCAGGTAAGGTGAGCAAACCTGGAATTGCTCCTCCACAACTGGCAAACTGTGAAGGGCTTTGCTGTGGGGTCAGCATTCAAACTAGTTTATCTAGGCTCCATAGAAGGAGGATTCTGTTTCTTTAGAGAAGATATATAAATATATAAGATATATACACACACACACACACTCATATATTTATATATATATATACATACATAAGTATTAAACAAAACAAAACAAAACCCATTGCCATTGAGTCGATGCAGACTCATAGCGATCCTATAGGACAGAGTAGAACTACCCCATGGGCTTTCCAATAAGCAGTGGTGAATTCAAAGTGCCAATCTTTTGGTTAGCAGCTAAGCACTTAACCACTACGCCACCAGGACTCATATATATATACAAAATTTGTTTGTGTGTGTCGTGGGGTTATAAGTACCCGCTTGGCAGCTATTCTGTATGCTGAGGTATACATGCTGAGTAAGGGAAACTCCAGTCCTATTCTCAGCCTTGGCTCTTGATTCCATCTGTTGTTAATAGCCCTCAGCCTCTGAGTTTCATAGGTTCTGCTCGGCAGATCTGCTTCCTTGTGAGCTGTAGGCCACTCCACACAGTGTTGCTACACGATGGTGGGCTTTTTGTGGGTGGCCTCCCTGGAAACATAACTCCCAAAATACCATCCACATAGAATACAATGTGAAAGGTGTCCCCTGATGTCATACAGCACATGGCCCTGCCTCTGTAGTTGATCTAGGCTGGGACTTTTTTGTTACACCTCAGCAATCAGCGTCCTTCCATATGCTGTCTTCCAGAAATGTGCTGAAACCTTTTGGCCTTTGATGCCCTCTCACATTTCCTTTATCATTATGGGACTATCTCCCCCCGCGCACACACACTTTTAAATTTAAATTCGATTAGCTTCCTCTTAACAGGGTCTCAGGAGGAAGAGGAGATTAATATGCGAGTGGCTTCTATCAACTTGAACTTGAAACTCAGAGCTCACACTGTTAATAGGGGTGTTATTCTGCCTCATTATGTCTGGCATAGTTATGGATGATACAGATTGATCAGTTTTAAAAACAGCAGTGACTCTATGGTAGAGGCTAAATTAGACAGTTTTGCTGTCTCCATGGATCAAATTAACTGGAAATTTGAAATATCTCCATTTATTTTACTTGAAGGAAATAACAACTAAGGTGAAAAATATAGAAACATATGGCCTTTTAAACTACATTTCTTTTTTAAATATCCTAGGTAGCTGTTTTTCACAAAAGCATTAGGAGGCAGAGTTTTGAAATAATAGAATTCCCAATTTCAGCTGATTGCCTACACTTGGCGGTGTAACACCTTAATGGGAATCCTGCCAAAGACAAATTGGCTTATGTAAAATGAAAAATAACTTTCCTACTATGCGTTCAGTGACAATGATTATAAGCCACATTATCTTCCTATCTGACAGCCAGCTGGACACATATCACATGAACTTAAGTGTTCTGGGTGTTGTAAAGAATTACTGAAGTGTTCCCTTCTATATATTCCAGCAATGCAAAATTATTTATACTTCAGATGTTTTATTTTATATCCAGAAATGTTTTATATAAATAAATACATATGCATTTAAGAACAAGTGTTCAGTGTGGGTCTTCAAACTAATCTAGGCTACAAAAAATAAGAGTCCTGTTTAGCTTAAAAAAAAAAAAAAAAAAAGACAGCACTTGGATGGAGTGTATATTCAACTAGTACTTATTAAGGGCCTAACATGTTCCTGCTACTTTGGCAAAAAGTTAGTGAGCTCCATGCTACTATCCCCTTTGGCGACACCCATGTTTATAAAGATAAAATACCTTAAGATCAATAGCAAAGGATGACAGAGGCCAAGACTGAAAACTAGATCTTTAATTTTAGAGTCAGTTTTCTTCTACTATCTCAGGGAACAGAATATTCTTCTATACTGCTTTAACCACTAGATATGGGGCAAGCTGCTTTATGCCAGTTGGGACAATGGAACACCATAAAAATGAGAATACTGACGTCAAGCTAAGGCCTTTACATTCTCGGCTTCATCTTATCAGAGAACTAGAATTGGTAATTAAGTCTATCACAGAGTTCATTTTACTGAAGTGGAAAACTCAGTGCAAAATGCTTATTAGTAAAATGCTAATAAGCTTTTGTTAATAAGAAGAAAGACAAAAAAAAGTTTTGAAATAGCTTTAGAATAAGTTGTCACAATTTAGTATCACTGGAGGAAGTCTTCTTTGTGTTAATAACCAAAATGTGGATTGCCACCCTGAGCTGTGATGATGGAGGTATTCATAAGGAACAAGGAAGGTGAGGTAGAGAGAAAGCGGTAAGCTCAGTCTTTACATCATCATCTCTTTTGCAAATAACACTCCATGCCATATAGCATACATGTGGACCTCCAGAACTATACAAAACAGTAGGTTAATGATACTATTTAATGATTTCTAGGACTAGAGTTAGTTCCAGTTCTTTATCATTTTTTAGGCTAGGACATTTTTCACTGTGTCTCACTTAGCCTGAATGTGGTTCATGAATGGTGACCAGCGCTTTCCACTTAATGAAGTCTTTTTATACCACATTATACGGGTCAGCGTTCTCGAGTAAAGTCAGACTTGATTTCATATGCAGGCTGTGCTACTTCCTAGGTAAGTGTCCTTGGGAAAATTACTTAACCTCTCTGAGAATCAAGGTTTAGAAAAAAAAAGATGTCTACCTCATAAGACTGTTCTGGAAATAAAATCAAATGTGATTTTATCTATTAGGTAGGTTGGTGGGTGGGTGGGTGGATGGGTGGATGGGTGGATGGGTGGATGGGTGGATGGGTGGATGGGTGGATGGGTGGATGGATGGATAGAAGATACAGTAGCCTCCCAACTAATAAACTCAGGGAGTCTGGCTAGGGTCCACGCTTGACACCTTGCATAGTTTTACATTAGAAGATGCTATACAGTGTTGATTGAGAACGTTTTCTGTCTTTTAGTTTATAGAACAGATATTACAATGGAGATAGTGTGCTGTTGAGAAAAAAGCTACTTAATTCTCCAGAGCTAAATTCATAGTTATCCCAGCTCCCTCTCTCTCTCTCTCTTTTTTTTTTACCAGAGACACTAAAGTGATTTGATGGTCTTTACCATCAATGGCAGAAGTCAAGGACAGAAGAAGGGACTTCTTTTTTTTGGCAGGGGTGAGGAAGGTGTACAGTCCACATTCCTTTCATTCACCTCCCCATGAGTTTGGGGACATTTAGCGGGTTTCCTTCACTGAAGGCAAAAAAGGGCATTCCAAGAAAAGTGCTTGTAAAGGTTGTGCTGTTCTAGAAAAGAAAGACTAACATTTCCCTCTTTGGTGATGTTCACTTAGCCATGGAGTTTGCTGACCTGCTTCACTATTACTGAGGTTGGAAAACAACCCTAGGGAGAGGAGGTCAGCCAGGGAGAGAGGATACAAAACTGTCCCCCCGCTTCTGGTTACTTCACCTGAGAAGTAGAAAAGATGGATGCTCCTCATGTCTGCAGTCCTCACAGTTGAGGCTGTTAAGGGCAAATGAGAATGGAGGACTATGAGTTTGTGAGAAGTTGCTTCCACTTGCACAAAGCAGGGAGTGCATCAAAAGACTGCAAGGTGAAGCTGCTAGGGGTCTTCTGGAAGAGGTAGCTGAGTTCCCCCAGAGACAGCTCAGCTAGAGGAGCTGCTTGAGCATGAGTCTTGTGGTACTGGCAGATGTGTGGTTCTCTACCCAGCCAGGCTACGTTGCTAGAGATAACCAACAGAAAGGGCACAGCCACAGAAGAATGGTAGAGAAATAACATTCCCTTCTTTTCTCTTTTTGCCCTAACACTGCCAGAGGATTCTAAGGGAAAGAGATATCTAGAGGGTGGCATGAGAGAAAGCAGACCACACCACTATCAATATCAGGCCACTTTGGTGGAACCACAAGTCTCAACTGTGTTGGTAGGATGGATAGAAGTCTGAATCAAACATGAGGTTCACATTTTAACATAGAGAAGATCAATAAATGATAAAGTTAGAGATATGAATTGAAAATGTCATTAAGGTAGACTATTCACCATTGGGAAAAAAGGAACAAAGCGCAGTTGTTAACAGATATTGAAAAAATAAAATGATTTCATTTTTAAACATTAATTGATTAAATGTTCTCAGTTAAACCAGTTGCAATTATAAGCCAAGTGGAGAAACGTATTAGCCACCCCCTCTAATGAACTGATTGGAGAATTCAGAAATACAAAATACTAAAACCCTCTATATGTAAGCCTGCTCATCCAACATCTCTATTCTCCTCTCCTGCCCCACTGACTCACATAGCATATGCCACAGTACTGAATCAGTCAATGGCCTTTTGACATCCCATGTTTGCTCATGTGTTCATGCTTATACACATGTTCTTCCTCTGTCCAGAACTCCCTTTCTTCCGATGTCTATCACACAAATACCTGTAGATGTTTCAGGTCTCAGCTTGTGAGTTTCACTCTCTCTGAAACCATCCTGACCTGCTTTCCCCTCCCTCTCGATGCCATGTGTGAGCCAGGTGCCCCTCCTGTATACACATTAACGCCTTGAAAGTATTTCCTGTATAATGCCTATACTGTATTGTAACTATGTGCTTATATTTTTGTCACTCTCCCTACACACTAAGCCCTCTGAAGGGAAACTTAAAATTCAGTACCTAGGACAGTGCCTGGGATATAACAAGAGCTTCATAGACAATTGCTTATTGAAAGAAGGAAAGAAAGAATTTCTTTATCGTCAAAGTGATGAGGCTGCACAGTTAGTTTTAAGAGGAGGCTCTTATGTAGTCTTTTCTTACCCTTCCAAGGAGATGGCCCGTTGGAGAGTCACTGAAGGCTGGCGCATTGCAGTGCTGTGTTGAGAATGACTGTAAGGAAAGACAAGACAAACATGGATCATTTACTTAAAATGTCTGTGCACATTCTAATCAGTCCTATTGTCAGGAAAAGAACCAGTCTTGAAAGAAATACAGTAGCGATTAAATCACTATTCTTTGGTTATAAATAGAATCATCCACCAAAACATAGCACATAGCACTCTACTGGAGAAGGGGCTAGTTTCCTTACTATTTGATTTCAACGTGTATTATTCAAAAGTACGCTCTAAATGACAGGTACACATGGAAAGAAACAAAAATGTTTGGAAAAGGTAATTCTTTCCCCTTTCAATAAGACAATGTAGAGCATCAAAACATAAATGTTATTATGATGCAATGTATTAAAAATTTTAAGCTGTGGAACTTTTTTTCCTAATGAAATTTTATACAGAGCCTAATTTGTGAATCAAAGTGGTATTTACCCACTGCTGTCTAGTCAATTCTGACCACAGTGACCCTACAGGACAGAGTAGAACTGCCCTACATGGTTTCCAAGACTATAAATCTTTACAGAAGCAGATTGTCACATCTTTCTTCCAAGGAGTAGCTGGGTTCAAACTCCTGACCTTTTGGTTAGCAGACAAGTGCATTAACCACTGTACTACAGGGCTCCTGAAGTGGTATTTAATTAGTATAAATTTATCTATAACTTTAAATTTGCAACACAGAAATATAAAATTTATCGATAAGTACAATTTAGTTATTTGATGAACACAAAGCTTGAAAAATGGGATTTCCAGCTGCAGTTTTGTATCAACATTAGAATCCACTATATCTCCATATTTTGTCCTGGTTACACGGCAACAATATTGAGTTTGTAGATAACTAGTTACAATAATAATTATAATATCTAAAATTTATCAAACACTTATATTGCTCCAGTTACTTTTCTAAGTGTTTTATATTTATACATCTTTTATTTCTCACAACCCTATGAGGTATGTATTGTCACTAATCCCATTTAACAGATGAGGAAATTGAGACACAGAGAAGTTTAGAAATGTGCCCAAATTCATATGGTAAATATCTATGCTTGAAGTGGTATCCAGACAGTCTGATTCTAGAGCCACTGTTCTTAACCACCATGTTATATTGCTTCTCAAAGAGTAACAAGTTCTCAGATTTGTAAGAATTTATCTTGCAATATCAGAATATTCTTCAATTATTTTGCCAAAGAAACGGCGGGAGAAGCTTTTATCTGAGATATTCACAATAACGATCCTACAGCAAAAATTAATTCATTGTAGTTTTTTATGTGCTAGATATGTAGAATATTTGTGTTAAATGTCAGATGTAATGTTTCTAAATGTGTAATCGATTTTTAGCTATAATATTAATTACATACACGGGTAGCATGAACATATGAACATGTATATAAAAATATATATGTAAAGAGAAATCTGAGTTAAGTGTTTGTAGAACATTAGGCATCTTCACAAAGCTCTAGGATTTTCCAGCACAAACTCTGAAAACACTGATATTAGCATGGAGAACCAAGCTGTGGGCTGCGGAGGTTTTTGAGCAGGGGTGTCACTCTGTGATGGCATTTTTCTGAGGTTGATGGAGCAGAGTTCTGGGAATGTAGCTAAGGCCTAGAAAATGATCTTCTTAAAGCTAAGGATTGTGTCCTCTGCTTCATGTATACCTCATGGTGCCAAGCACCACAAATGTTCAATTAATATGTTTTGATCAACCAATTGAGAGGCATCATAGTGTTCAGGAGCTTGGACCACGTAGCTAGACTATCTGAGTTCAAATCCTGACTCCATCACATATATCTATGCGACCTTGTGTAAGGTACTTAAACCTCTCTGTGTGCCAGTTTCTCATCTGCGTAATCAAGATAGTAATAGAAACTTCTTCACAGGGTTGTTATAAGGAGTCAATGAATACAGTGCTTAGAACAGTGCTTAGTACATGGAAAAGCTATATAAGGGTTTGTTAAATATAGAAATGAATATGATTTGAAAATTATTATTTAGGTCACTTGAGTTAGCCTCATAGTCAATGCTGTGAGGTATATATTTCTGGTATAAAATGACTTTGATGACCAGTATCAGATTAAAATATACTGTCTATTACAAAAACAACACTATAAAATTAGTGGAATTCAAAATAAGAGAAAGTAAAATACCCATAATTCCATTATTTTTTCTCACATTTTCAGAGTTATATAATTTAATTTCTATACTATCCTATAAGGTAGTTATGATTATCTTCAGTTTATATATAAGGAAACAAAACCCAAAGAGCTTACATAAGTTGTCAGAAATCAACAGCTGCAAATGCAGAGGCAGAATTCAAACTAAAAACCATCTGTCTTGTTACCAAGTGCGTGCACTTTTCACTCTGTCATCTTCCAGTTTTTAAACAAGTTATAGAGAACAAATGTAAGTTCTTATTACATTTTTCCTTACATTATAATTTAAGCATTTCTGATACATTCTCCATAATCATTTTGATGTTATATAATGTTATTTCCTATAAAGATAACACAATTTATTTAAACACTGTTTTATTGTTGGATATTTGGGTTATTTATATTGTTTTAATATTATAAATAATGTTGCAATGAACATACTGAGATCAATTACTTTTTTCTTATTTGCCTCTTCCCTTAGGATGGATTCCCAAAGTGGAAACATATATTAGATTCTTAATTTATGCTATTAGATTTTTTTTTTTAAACTTCGTACTCCTTTATTTCATATTGCTAACATGGAAACCCAGGTGGCAGGGTGGTTAAGAGCTACAGCTGCTAACCAAAAGGTTGGCAGTTCGCATTCACCAGGCGCTCCTTGGAAACCCTACTGGGAAGTTCTACTCTGTCCTATTGGGTCGCTATGAGTTGGAATTGACCCGACGGCAATGGGTTTGGTTCAACAAGTTTTATTGCTAACATTACCAAGGCAAACATCTTCCCCTTGGGTTCAAGCAGTTTGTTCTGTCCTTTCCTATTGTAGGCCACATATAGACAGCATGTTGCTATTGCTAACATGACTAAGAAATTACAGGTAACCACAGCCTGGCTGTTTTACCTCCTCAGGCAGAGAGGCCAGCCAGCCAAGAAGGAATTCTGAGAAGCGCAACGGTATCTGTACCAGTTTCACCACAATCTTACAAACACTGACATTATAATTAGAAGAAAATACTCGATAATTTAATAGGTGCAGACTTATAATGAACAGTTATTAGTGAGAATAAATTTTTTCTTCTATATGCTTATTTTCTAATTGTATTTCTTTTGTGCGAACTAATCATTTCTTTTATCATTTATCTTTCACTGGTTTCAACAGTAAGAACAGTTCTTCTTGGGTAAGGACCAATGATGCTAACTGACCAAGATTAATGAGTAACTGGAATCCCTAATAGCTTCCTCAACATTAGCCCAGCCCACATAATTAAAACAAAGAAATATTCAGTAATCTTATTTTACTTACCACTACCTTATAACTAATTGCTTTATTATTCTACCCTAAGCTAGTCCAAGAATGTTCTTTTTAAAGTTTTAGGTACACTTAAATTAAATGCAAAATGTACCATAAAGTGCTCAGAGAATTTGAATCCTTTCACATTATACATGCAGTTTCTCCTAATGTATAAATTTGGAATAATAAGAAAAAATTGGGATACAGCCTTTTACAACATGTAATTATCCTTTTACTCTGCCAGACAAATATAGTGAGTTATCTGACAGCCATGAACTGTAGACACAGGGCATTTTTGTTATTCATGGGTAGTAATGCCTAAGCAATATTCGCAGTGGTACTAGGAGATACCTGACAGTTACAATAACTGGTGTTTAAAAAACACCAAACATCTTCCCATTGGGCTCAAGAAGTTTGTTCTATCCTTTCCATATTATAAGCCACACATAGACATCATGTTACTATTGCTAACATGACTAATAAATTACAGGTAACCACAGCCTGACTGTTTTACCTCCTCAAGCAAGAGGCCAGCCAGATAGGTGGAATTCTGAGAACCACAATGAAAAGAACCAAAGGGGGAGAGCACAGCTAAAATGTGAACCTTTCAGTGTAAGAGAACGACGTGCTTGTAATGTTCTTTGTCTTTAAAAAAGCCTACCTGCAAATCGCCAGCATCCTCCTTCTAGCTATTATTTTTCTAGTTACAGTAAGTATCTCCTCTTCTGTGAAGCATTTAATAATATGCTTTTCTTCCCTACCTACACCCCTGGCAGAGCTGACAATTCACTGCTCTGGGCCCCTCATCTTTTTCACAAGTCCATAGCAGCACCAAGGACTGACAATCACCACCATTTATTCACATACTCTTTTCTCCAACTAAGTTGTATGTGCTTTCTTGCAAGGAGTAGGGCTTATCCATCTCTATATTTTTAGCCTAGGCTGGCACACACAAGATTATTTCTATACACGTTTTTGAATAAATAAATTAATAAATGAACAACATGAACTAAATTTCACCTACGTATATATAAGCCCCCATGCCTTTAAAACTTTGTAACAACATTGAGAACTAGGTATTACGCCAGTTTTTGAGGAAAATTAAGGCTCAATTTCTCACAGCTAGTAGAGGTAAGAGTAGAACCCAGGTTTACTGACTCCAAAGTGCCTGCTCCTCTGGGATAAACCATGTTGCCTTACAGAAAGGTGGACTCAAACTCTGTGGTTAGTCCATACAGGAAACCTGACACATTCTGTTAGGAAATGTTGTTTGCATAAAATACCACCCATTATTTTCACCACACATGGACATCTTTCATGTCAGTGGATTTTGAAGATAATTTTGTGACGATCACTTAATAGAGGGACTTCTCTGTCCTACTCTCTCCACCTTAATGACCCTTGGCATTTATGAGGATTTAAGTGAGAAGAGGAATTCCTGGTGGTGCAGTGGTTAACAGCTACAGCTGCTAACCAAAAAGGTCAGCAGTTCGAATCTACCAGGTGCTGCCTGGAAACCCTATGGGGCAGTTCTACTCTGTCCTATAGGGTTGCTATCAGTCA